CGGGAACTCGCACACCTGGGAGCTGAATTTAAAATCTTTGAGTTCTACATGGACGGGGAACATAATCCCAGAATTTCAGCTTTCCAGTTTTTCTGGTTGCCAATTTAGCGATTTTCCCGCCAAAACATGGAGGCGCTCACACGCGGGGCCTAGACGCAGGTGGGCGTTAGTACCGCAGTCCTGGGGTGGTACTTGGCTGGGGAACCCACTCGCAAAATTTTGGCGCCGGAGCTTGCTTGGGTGCCGAGTTGAAATACCCGGACAGACAGCACACACACGCACACACACATACACATACACACACACAAACACACACGCACACCGGGATCGTCACAATATGCGTTTTCGTATTTGCATATATGCAAAAACGCATAAAAATCAGACAACTAGAATCAGCAGTTAAATTTCCTTATAGTTGTCTTGAACTTTTAACGTGTGGATATGGCAACTTCACAGCTGCTTAAAATATACAAATGTAACTAGATTAGTCTGCCTGCGCACCATACACATTCTGATCTAAGAACTATCTGATCAGTTTGCTTATCGCCGAGATGAAAAAGCATTTCCACGCATGGAACTTTTATATCGAACAGAGAAATGAAGTTTTGGAAATTCTAGCTTCCTAACTTGCCTAGCAGCCGAGTTGAATGGAGATGCAAGCAATTCTGCAGTTTCCGTTACTTGCTCCCATGTTACCCAGGAGTTTATAAAAGGTCGTTTATAGCTACAAACATCGATGCGTAACTGAAGTTCATGCTCACAAAGCTCGAGCTATTTAGCTTGTCTCTGGTTTGGGAGCAGTACCAGTAATTCTACAATTTTGGCTTTCACGTTTCAGCACCTGAATACATAAAAGTTGATCTTACGTTTTCAGACGCACAAAAATCGGAAATACCCTCGTTGAATCTCAGCCTTCTTGTTTCCTTAATTCCTGAATTCGGACAATTGGATAGACACACTTACACGCAGACTTATTAATATGCAAGGAGATAATCTCACAATTTTAGCCATATATGTTTTGCTTCAATTTTGCAGCTCAAAATACGCTGTAATAAAATGCATCAAAAACTATGCCGACAACAGATGCACGTAACTGGGCGTTTCCTTCATATGTACTTTGGCAATTTTGCTGCAGGTTTGAAGGCAAACGCGAGTATCGATCACCAAACCGCAGCACGCGGAATTATTCGCCACTCAATCGTCGAGAATCACATAGGCCTTCAGTGCGTGAAGAATGCATGAGAGGCGGTTTGCAGGAGCATGATGAAATCATCAAAGAAGCCTCCAGACTGCAAATCTCATCACTACGACGTGAAATTGAACAACTGCAGAAGGGTGCTGAGGATCGGAAAGGAAAGCTGCAGCAGGTCTCTGGGATACCTCTTATCGTTTACGTAATTCATCCGATAAGTAGCAGCAAGGGCGGGCCAACAAGCACCGCACCCATGCGTGGACATACATTCGGGGATTCACTGCGATCGGGGAGGAGATGCTAGCTTCCCTGACTCACTCTTACTACAGTAGCAGCGCTCATAGTGCTGAGTTGATCGCTCATTTTTGAGATGAAATGTATATTGTCGCACTACGCAATAAAATCCTTTTTTGTCAACCGATGCTGCCAGCAGTACTACATTAGGCCAGATGCAGCATTCAGCCTCAGTCTGAAGGGCCTATGGAGTGCGCTGTTCAGTTTGTCCTGTATTCAGCCACTTATCCAGTTTTAAACAAGAAAGCATGCATCCAACGTTGTTGCCTTTTCGAAACTATCGTATCTTTCTCACAAAGCTTGTTCTTTTCACCTTAACCGTTCCCCACGAAGACGATTTACTTCCGCTCGCTCCGCGCACTCATTTTTGTCCATTTTTAATACAGATTTTTGCATGTGTTGAATTTGATGGTATTCGGTCTTTTTTGAAAGAGCTGTCAACTGTTTTAAACCGCTTTGAAAACCTCCTCCTGAATAAGAGCTGATAACGGATAGGACAAGTTGAAATCCTAGCAGCTCCCCTGTGCTGCGAAGTTCGCGTCCTTTTTTCGAGCTCAGTAGTAGCGACCGGTGTCGGTCTAACTAGTAAGAGGTAATGTGGAAGAGTTGATGTACCTCTGCAAAAAATTTGAAATTTGCATCCTGTAACGTGGCGTGAGTAACACCACAAGATAGATATAACAAAAAATGAGCTCTAGCTATCAGTACATACTTCAGCCTGGTCGTGCGTAAGCGGATTTACAATTGGTGCGAAACCAGCTATCAAAATCGCTGGAAAGCAAACAGTGCTGGAGCATAAAGGATAAAGCCCACCGAATCAAATTTACGTCTAGAAATAAAGTCATGATATACGCTGTTCTGGAAAACGATGAAACAGGAAGCAAGTGCTCGGTGTTTACGAAACATAACGAATATCTAAACACACTGTGGCCTCGGGTGGAAGGAAGGCGTTCGAAAGTTTTTGTGCGCCTAAAAAGAATAGGAAGTGTTTGCGAAGTCGGCTTAATCGTCAGCAATACCGCAAAGCATTTGCTACCGGTTTCACTTAATCTGAAATCTGCTTCACAAGCTAAATCTTGCGATTTCATACTTTCTTCGCAGCCAGCGGAATGTCGATGAGATTGAAACTGGGTTCAGCTGCTTTCTGACAATCAAATGTAAACATGTGGTTGCTGTGAAGAATTTAAACACTGTTTTGGTGAGGTGAACTTTGGCAAGAATCGCACTGTTTGGTGTGGCAAACGAAAAGAACGACAGAAATGGTTGGCTATCATCGATGCTGAAGGCATCAAAACACTCGTGGTTGGATACCTACTAGTTCAGGAAGAATGCAGAATGAGATCGGACTCAAATTTTGCCAGAAACAGGAGGAAAAACGAGGACGGACATATTTTATTAAAACTTGACACATTTCGTGAATGCATCCGTGGTACCTCAATTCAGTACAGGAAATGATCATGGCATATTTCGTACAAGAACAAATATTACCTTGACTGTTGAAAGACAGGTAGTGTGGGGGTAACTCATCCTAGCAGGTCCGAGAAATCAAGGAAACAAAGCGACAAGATGCGTGAAAGACTGCACTGCGATTACCAATATTGAGCAGAAATGCATCGTTGAAAACCTCCTCTGGCCAGTAAAAAAGCCGAATCCATTGGCACACGACGGTCAGATTCAAAGTATCTCTACAGCTAAATATAGCGAACAAAGTTGAAAAGGCACGAAACCGTGATTCAAAGCGGTCCCTCCTCTACAGCCTTGTTAACGGGAGTTAAGGGAAGTCCCTTTTTTAGCAGCATGAGTGGAAGCTGATAAAGTATAATAATAAAAATGTTTTTGGCATCTATTCGGGAAATAATAATAGGTTACAAATAATTCAGCAGAATTGCAGTTTAAAGATCCGCAACTTTTGATTATTTGCACCTCATTAGAAAAGTACGAAAGCATTAAGC